GACTGGAGCCCAGGAAGCACCCTCCCCCTACCCCGTCCCCAGCGGAGGAGGCGCCAGCCCCATGGTGCTCTCTTCCCCACCCTCCCCTCTGCGGGCACAGGGCCACCTGTAGGTGGCGGCACAGGTGCATCGCAAAGACGTTGTGGGCGGATTCGGCGATGAGGCAGGTGCCCGTGCTGGCCGTGGTGTTGTGCAGGTCCAGGACGAAGTCAAAGGCCTGGCCCGAGGCCTTGGGTCCCAGCAGTTGGTTCAGCTCTCGGGCCCTTGTCACCTCATATGGGTCATCCGGGTGGGCCCTGGCCCTGCAGGGGCAGGGATGGGGGTATCACCACCCACAGTCTCAATCATCAGAGGTGTAATGAGAGGAGGGGAGGGGAGGGAGCCTCGTGTGCTGACAGGAGTGAACCCCTGAGACCCTGCAGGAGCGACAGCAGCTCAAGGGCTCGTCCTTTGTGCCTCTGCAGCGCGCCTGCCCCTCGCAGGGCTCTTGTTGGCTCCCCACTGCCCCCATAAGGTTCAAACCCTTGGCCTGGCCTGGCCCACCTGCCTCATCAGCTCTCACTCCAGCCACACTTCCAGCTGGTCTCACTGCTAGGCCTGTGCACCTGCTGGGCCCTTCCCTGGAAACTCCTTTTCTCCTCTCTTCACCTGGTTAACATGGACTCACCCTTCAGTGCTTGGCTGAGATACCACCTCTTCCAGGAAGCCTTCTCTGACTACCTTTGGTCAGGTTTCTATAGCCCCTCCTCCCCCTGCATTTAGCCTCCTGGGTTGTGGTTATGGGTTCTTCCTCTGTCTCCCCCAGTAAGCTGAGAACAACACCTCATTTCACTCCCCATTCTCTCACCTGAGCTGGCCAGAGCCTGGCTCAGAGGTGGGGCTCAGCGAATGTCCATTAGAGAAAGTAAAGTAAATGCAGCCTGTGGGGCTGATCTGAGGCAAGCCCTGGGTATGGGGAGTCCCGAGGAGGCCCTGACCCAGCCTGAGGTCAGGAAGGCTTCCTGGAGGAGGTGATATCCGTTCGGATGTGTCTAAGCTGAAAAGGAAGAATAGGCATCGAAGGCAGAGGGTGTGCCCTGCTAGTGGCTGGAGGATGAGTTTGAGCTGAGGATCTCAGTGCCAGTCCAAGGGCCTGGGCCACCTGGCGGGCCAGGGCCCCACAGCCACCAGGACACTCACGTGAGGAAGGCGCCAGTGAAGGCGCGGTTGAGGTCACAGTCTACGTAGCGGCGGCAGGCGGCTGTGGCCGCTGGGTTGGCCAGCACGGGCACCGCGGAGAAGCTGGGTGGCTGCAGCTCCCCCGGGGCCCCATCCCGTGTGGGTGGAGGGCCCGGTGGGTGGGCCTGCTTAGGGCCCGGTGCTGAGCTGGGGTGGGGTGGGTGGTGAGCTCCCTGAGGTCTGACGAGTCCCAGCGTCCCAGCCAGGCAGCTCGGCTCTCTGTCAAAAGATGTGACTGAGGGCAGCTCAGCGCAGTGCCACTGCCCCTCCACCTCCACTGGCCGCTCAAGGCCTCTCCCTCCCGGTGCCCGAGCCCGGAGCTCCTTTCCTGGAGGGTAAGCACCACCCTTCCCTCCCTTTAACAAGGAGCTTCTTTCATTGTTGTTGTTGATCCTCACCTGAGGACTTTTCCCATTGATTTTTAGAGAGAGTGGGAGGGAGGGAGGGGAGAGAGAGAGAAAAAACATCGATGTGAGGAGAAACCAAGATGGCGGCATAGGTAAACACCGGAAATTGCTGCCTCGCACAATCACTTCAAAAATACAACTAAAAGACAAAACGGACATCATCCAGAACCACAGGAAGGCTGGCTGAGTGGAAATTCTACAACTAGAAGGAAAGAGAAAAGCACACTGAGACTCAGAGGAGGTGCGGAAGTAAAGTGCAGAGGTACGGAGGCGCACGCAGAAAGGGCTGGCAACTGAGGACGCCGCTGTCTTTTTCAATTGGGAGGGAGTCTCAAGCTCCCGACTGCTCTGAACTCCAGTTCTGGGCGAGTCTCTGGGGAGCCAGACTCATACGGGGAGAAACTGGACTGTCTGGCAGCAGGCGGAACTCGAGGGCGGCTTTCTCTAGAGGTGCTTGCAGCGATTACCGGGAAACTGAGACACGGGGCCTTTTAGGGTAGGACTGAGGATCAGCCATAGCTGTTTGCTCCGCCCTGTTGATTCCCTGAGACCCCGCCCCACCCAAGCTGTGCGCAGAGGCTTTTGCATATGAAAGGCCTGGCCCTTTGCAATCTGAAAATTACCTGACAAACTGCAGCTGGGTCAGAGAAACCCAGAACATCGAAAAGAAGGCCCAAGGCCACACAGCAGCTTGCATTGCTTCACAGCTGGGC